GAATAATAATCTTCTAGTGATATGCAGAATGGATTTAGAAGAAAGAAATCTACTACTCGAGCTAACTATCAAGCTCTATGTAAGGTAAATGAATCGATCAATAGTAAAAAGGCTACAACAGTTAACAATCTGGACTTGTCCAAGGCTTTTGACAGTGTTGACCATACACTACTGATACCAATACTACTGATATACTACTGATACCAAAACTGTCGTTCTACAGTATCAGAGGGCTGCCACTCGAACTAATTACGCCCTATTTGAAAAATAGACAGCAATGTATTACTGAAAGGGATACTGATGAAAATCTATTGAAATCAGAAGTGCTATATATTGTAAGAGGTGTACCCCAGGGGTCAGTGTTGGGCCCCCTACTATGCTTTCTTTACATTAACAATATGCCTGAAGCTGTTGATGAATACACGGTTCACTATCTAGGTGTATATTTATAACAAGATACCTGAATGTCTCAGAACTTCTTCATTGTGATGTAGTATAGTCTCTTTTGAACCGTACATATAATATAATAATATTACATCAAGTATATTGACTGTGATAACCTTGTTATTCATACAGCTGTGGCCATTTATATTCTTAACCAATAATATTGCCTCATGATTTTCTACTACTTCTGTAATGTTTACTGTAATTGACATGTTTTGGTGCCTCTAGGACTTCCAGCCAGTATAATAAAGTGGATATGATATATGACAGATAGAACCATAATAGTGAGATGCAATAATTCAATTTCACACAGTCAGGCTGTGAAACTTGGGGTACCACAGGGTTCAGTTCTTGGGCCACTGCTGTTTCTTCTTTATGTAAATGATCTTCCACAATATTTAGAAAACGTTCATGTTACCATGTTTGCCGACGACACAACGATAACAATATCCGATCAGGATGCAGAACAGCTTGCAGTTAAACTGGAAATGGTTGTAAATCAATTTTCATCCTGGTGTCAGAGAAATAAGTTAATTCTAAACACGTCCAAATCGGTAATAGTCAAATTTTTTCACCGAAAATTGTTACCCAACGAACTTTTTGTAATTGACGNAAAAAAATTTGAGGTTATGATAAATGGTACATATGCAAAATTATATATTCGCTTCCTTAGAATGAACATTTGATAATGGCTGTTGTAATAATTGAGTATATGAAAACAATTTTCACCCGACTCATAGACATACCTAAAGCTGTTGAAAATAGTTGATACTAATGATAGTGGAATAAGAAATTATATTACGAAGTTCGCATTGGTGGTGAAACCAAAATTACCCCATCTCCTCTCACAAACAACATAGGGATGTTTCTTTTCGTAGTTCTATACATTTCTTCATAAGTCTCCTCGTCTATTTCAACAGTGGTGACGGTTTCTTCGGCATCACTAAGTATCATGTTCATATGTTGATCATAAGCCTAGAATTGAAAATTTTGTTGTATATTCAAACACTAAATCGATTATACATACATGTAGTCTACCGCGAATTTCTCTGTCATTTCTCATTTTCACATAAATCCTTTCATCTAAACTTAATCTGACCAGATCAAGCGGCTCTTTTACTGTAATTGAGGGGATCTACAAAACCATTATTAATATTTAATATATGTGGTAAAATATTACTTACGTTTTCTAGATCATCTGCCATTTTCAATTCTTGTATTAACTACCTATCAACACAATCGGCGGAAAAAAATAACTTTACAATTCAAATTCGAAATATATTGAAATGCCAAATATTCGATAAACAAATTTTAGGTTATTGCCAGTGACGTCATAATATGGACTAGCCATTGAAGAGAGAATATTGACTCCAACAACTAAAAAAAGATAAATAGATCAATGTATGGCATTTACGTCACTTATAACGACAGATACGTTTTGCAAATTTCCATTGTCAAAATTATGAGAATACATTTGTGTGATCCACAAATGTTGTCCGATACACATATTATTATGGAATATGTGT